CGAAGCTCAGCGAACGACTGAGACTGACGCAGAGACACGAGACAGACGGAATGCCAACAGCACGGAGTCCTTGATTGCTTGTGAGCATCAGTGGACGACGATACTCCAAGGCATGATCTTTGTGCCTACGGAAGCGCAGGCAGACCCGACACCGGCGGAGGCAAAGAGAAGTAACCTGGCTAACTTGCTGCTGGGCATGATGAGAGGTATTATGTGGAATAATACACTGCTGCATTCACATCTGCGCACGGACGCGACGCAGCGACAAACATACAAGAACGATATGACTGCGTTAACAACTGCTATCTACACAGAGACAAGGCAGCAGCAGCAACAACATCATCTGTTGAATTCCACTATCACACGCGTCAACAGCATAGAGGCTAACGCCTCAGCAGCGCCAGGCTGCACGACAGAAGTGACGAAGCAACTCAACGAGCGCATCGATCACGTCGCCACCATCATCGGCGACATAAGTACTTTCAACGGACCAGACTCGATCAGCAGCACGATGGCCGCCATCAAGATGGACATCACCAAACTACAGACGAGACCGGAAGCCGCTACAAAGACGTTCAAGATGCCGCACTTCGACATCAGCAAGTTCGACGATTGCAACAAGTCGGACGCCTTGTCATGGTGGCAACGCTTCCTCACGGAAGCATCATGCCGCATGGTCCCGGCGGACGACATGTTGAAGGCACTATATCTGCAACTGATTAGAGGAGCGCAGGGATGGATGAACCACCTAGCGGCTACACACAAGTGCACTATCGCCGAACTCCACACGCACATTACGTGGAAGGAGTTCGAGCAGCTATGGTTCACCAGATTCATGGTCTGCAACGTCGTGAAAATGGCCATGAACGAGGTCTACACATGCTCTCAAGGGAACATGCCAAAGCGAGACTGGGCATCAAAATGGCAGAAGATAGTGACCACGCCAGGCTTCGACTTGACGTTCCCTAATCAACGATCCGAATTCTTCTCGAGATCGTGCGCAGGATTGCGGTCGGCACTTGGCAACGAGTACGACTATACTACGTTCCAGGCCATTCTGGATAGAACGAACTTAGTCATCCAAACGGACGACAAGGCCGCTAACGAGAGGCAATCCCAGCCGCATTATGTGGCTAAACAGGCCTATCAACGTCCGACACATAACAATGCCGTGTTTTCTGAGGAAATCGACGACCACCACGCTGCGGCAGCATCCTCGAGTGATGGAGGAATGGTCGCAGCACTCCCGCCGAAGCTTCCGAAGAGAGTTCGCAAGAACAAGGCGACACAAGAGACAGCGGCGACGGGAGCTGGGCAGCAGCCATGGACGGCTTATAAGATCACCAAGGAGGTCTATGACCTTCGTCAAAAGTACGCATACTGCCTATGGTGCAACAGTGTAGTACACACTACCGCACAATGCCCGGACAAGGGCAAGGCACGCGTACCCCGTCCAGCCAACTCGGGAAACTGAGTTACGCAAGGAGAGGGGCGACGTCTCTCCTCACTCCGCCGGACCCGGTTGCCTTGCTAGCAATCGATGTCACCACCGGGGAGCATGCGTTAGTCGCTGATCCTCGT